CTCTCAGACTGAAGAAGTCTCTTGGAGGAGAGACGAAACGTTTCATTAGAGAAGAACCCGTCCAGAAGACCTATACAATTTTTTTCTTTTTCATTTTTTACCTGGATTACTGAGATGCATCAGGACAATGTGTAAGATTATTTGTCTTGTTAGTTTGATAATTTGACTCAAATTAAGTCAAACATTTTCTGCCAATGGAGTAAGAAAATTTTACTTGGTAAGATTTTTTGAAATACTTGATTTGACTCAATTTTTTCTTATTTCAAGAATCTTATCAAGTAAAATTTTCTTACTCCATTGGCTGACTTTTTTGACTTAATTTGAGTCTAATTTTCAGATTAAAAAGACAAATAATCTTACACATTTCGAAAACAAGATTATTATTCTTACACAATCAGTTCTGGTTTAGTAAATCAGTCTCAAAACAAGATCAAAAATACTTTTTGGCTGATATAAGATTTTAAAACTTGGTAAGATGAACATTTTTTGCAGTGAATGTGAAAAAAAAACAGCGAATAAGCTCTTCTTATTTCCACAACATCTTATTACAGCTAATTATGGAAAAAAAATTAGGCCATTTTGTTTGCATTCACCCGTTCTTCCTCACTGCTGTAAAACTTTAGGAATACAGAAAACTAAACAGAGTTGAACAGATTTGTAGTTCAAAATATTCTCCTCAAACCTGGGAGTGAAGGGTCTTATTAACTTGTCTCCTAAATAAAACACTGTTGGAACATAAATATTCATGTGTTCATTCAAGAATGTATAAAGTCAGACTTAGTTTTGGCAAAGCAACTTAGTTTCCTGTCGTTAACTTGGCAGTCAGGGAGTGAGAGACTCAGGTGTGTCATTATTACAGTGATCATTATGAACCACCACTTCATGTAAAGTTTAATCATCAAAATGTAAGTTTTTCTAWGCTTAAACTTAGTTTTGACTAACTTTACAGAAAGTTTTGTTTTTCTCATGAAATGTTGAGGCTTTGCCGTGCGAGTCTGTCACAGTAGGGTGGGTTTGGAGTTGTGTCTCCAGCTGCTGTGGGTGTCCACTCCGCGGAGACGAGCCAACGTTTTCTGACAGCCTATCTTTCCTGTTCAGAGTCCTGGAGGACAACAGGATCCGAGAGGTTCCTGAGAACACCTTCCAGTCTCTGTGGAAACTGGCTGACCTGTGAGTAGCTGCCACTTTATTTGGACATTTCTCATGTGTTTCGCACGGACGCTTCGAACCAGCAGGCGGAGGCTGGGCCCTCATCCATAATTGTGGAGGAGGAATTCAGACTAAAGCATTGCAGTACCTCTTTATATAGAGCCCAACTGAATGATTTAAATGTGAAAAAGAAGGATTTAAGATGATGTGTCTACTTATTTAGAAAAAACAACTCGTGTCACTGAGGAAAGATGTTTGTTTTATTTAAATTTTATCTGAATTTGTGAAAAGAACTATGAGTTTGCACTGAATCGTTGATTTAACATTTGAGAATTTATTGCAAAGTAAGTAATTAATTTCCTATAGACATTCTTTTCAGTATCAAAAAACTTTAGTGCTGTCAAATGAATAAAATTTTTAATCTATTAATTCCAAGGTAGCTGTGAATTAATCACGATTAGTCTTAAAGGGATCGCTGATTACATTTTACTTTATTTAATAAACATATATTTTAACTGTAAAATAAAGACTGTAAAAATACTGTAGGATGTTTAGTTTTTGTAATTTTTTAACTAAAAGTTTAAAAACGTAGTACATGGACGGGGCCATTTTATTTCCACACAAAGCATTCTGGGTAAATGATGACGTGCATAGGTCATCGATGCGAGGCTGCTAGCGAGCTATATCCACCCTGAAGTTTAATCTTGGACAATTTCTGATGATCGACTCTTTTAAATGAAACCAGAGAGCGTTGACAGAGAGGAGAAGGTAGAAATGACTCAGCCTGTAACTGAAAATATGGATGGAGGACAACAGAGCTGCTTCATGGAAGAAGAACCTCAGCTTAGTCTGTTAGCTTTAGCACCAATGCTATATTGCCTTATACTGTATGTATTAGCTCGGTGCTAGCGCGGCAAACTAACATGCTAAACTGAGGTCCTCCATCCATATTTTCAGTT